ACCTTGGTGATTCTCAGAGAAGGACTAAATGCACTTCACATAATGAGATGGAAATGAGATTTTGGGTGATCAGGGATGGAATGTTATGGTTTGGATCTGAATGTTCCTGAGAAGTCTTTTTTTTTTCTCCTCAGAAGTCTTATATGTTCTGAGGTGTGACCTTGTCAGAATTGGTGGATCACCAGAGGTATGAACAGGAAGGGTGTATCCCCCCCCCCATTAAATGTATTGGTACATTTTAGGTATACAATACAGTTACATTCATCATTGGGATCTTGTACCTTTACATGATATATCTTGGTTCTTATTTTTTCCCCATTCCCCTGCCCTCCCTTCACCCACTCCATCCTTCTCTATTTACAAAGACTTCGTTTCCTTTTTTTTTTCTCATATTTCTTTTCCCAGGAAGGGTGTATTCACCCCTCTATGTTTGCTTTTTGCCATGAAATGAGCAGATCTCCTCCTCCAAGCTCTTCCACCATGGTGTTTCTGTCTTGGACCCAGAAGACCATGGACCAAAGCCAACAGAACTGTGGGCCAACTAAATGTCTCTTTCTTTAAAGTATGGGCATTGGATATTTTGTCTCAGCAGCAGGAAAGCTGACTAATACACCAATAAAGGAATTAAAACTGATGCACTGGTGGGGCCAGGGATGTAGCTCAGTGGTGATACACCTGACAAAGCTTGACTGGCAAGTGCAAGGTCTTGAGTTCGAGTACCAAACAAACAAACAAAGACTATAAAATTCCTATAAACAGATAATTTATTTGTTTTTCATTCCATTTTAATCAAAACTTTATTAGAGTAGTATCCAAAAAGGTTCATTATGTACAATAAAACCACTTGGGTATTACACTAAAATGAGTCAGGCAGTGCATACCTTCAATTTCCACTTGTTTTAGGCTTGAGATAACTACAATACTCACTGCACAGTGAAAACTACTATTTTTATCTCTTATGTCACAAGGCATAAAGTCTTTTCTTATCTATTCATTAAAAATCAAAGTTTGGGCTGGGGATTTAACTCAGTGGTTCCACCACCTGCCTCGAAAGCAAAAGTACCCAAGTTTGATCCTCGGTACCAAAAAAAAAAAAAAAAATCAAAGTTCACTAGATGAGAAATACTGTTCATATTGCCTCCCCATGAACAACTATAATAAAAATAAAAGGTGTTAATAATATATCTCTAAGCCCATATGTACTCTGAAAGGAACTTAATAGTTCTATTTTCCACAATTTTAGTTATCCCTAGTCACAGTTGTAAAATATTAGAAAATTCTAAAAATAAATAATTCATAGCTTTCAAATAACTTTTATTATAGTATCTTGTTTTATTACAGTATGATTATAATTATTGTACTTTATTATTATTTTTGTTAAATTCTTTACTATGCGTAATGTTTGAATTCAACTGTATTACAGGTAATATGTAAAGTAAAATAAGCAACATAAATATAGGGTTTGAAGGTCCTGCAAAGTATTCCCCATGGATACAGGGATGTTTGTATGTGCAGAAGGGTAACTGACAAGGATTGTACTACTTATGCTAGAGCTTGACTGTGGGAAGATAAACAAAGACATATTTTCGCTTTCTTACTATCAACTGAAAAATAGTTATTGCTTCAAACTTTTTAAAATGAAACATGTAATAAAGATTAAACTATTAGAGGGCCGGGGATTTAGCTCAGTGGTTCTGCTGCCTGCTTCACAAGCGCATATTGAATTCCCAGTACCAAAAAAAGATTAAATTATTAGATTGAGCTAGTATAATTATATATATATATATTTTTTATGTATAAAGCAAGAAATAGGAGTTCTACACATTAGTTTCCCAACCCTAAAGCATCTTTAAAATGGTTTCCTTCTAGCCAGGCATGGTGGCACATACCTGTGGGGGCTGAGGCAGGAGGATCACTGTGAGTTCGAGACCAGCCTGGGCTACCTAGTGAGTTCCAGGTCAGTCTCAACTACATAGTGAGATCCTGTCTCCAAAAAAAAAAGCAAATTGTATCATTTCTTTCTTTTTTTCCTTTTTTGGTTTTTTGAGACAAGTTCTTGCTAGGTAGTTCAGTTTGGCATCGAACTTGTGGCAATCCTCAGCCTCTCAAGTGCTGGGGATTATAGGTATATGTGCCATCATGCTTGGCCTTCTTTCTCCTTTGTTTACTCAACTAATGTGTCACTTTTTCAATCTACACATGATGGGCAGGGATAATCATAAGAGCAAAATTCTCTGTTGTCAGTATGCCTTTTATTTTTTGTCTGAGAGGGGATCTTACCATGTAGCCTAGGCTGGCCTTGAACACACAGCAATCCTTCTGTCTTCCCCTCCCAAGTGCTGGGATGACAGGCATGTGCCACCACACCTGATTTGGTATGCCTATTTTGAATTCAGTTATCTCTTTCTACGGTTTTGTTTCCAGTCTGTTTAGGCTTTGGAAACCAGATAGCAAAGCTCATCTCTGACATTCTAATTTCATTTTAATATTGGCTATTTTTCTTCTTCCACCTTTTCTTCTTACTCAAATGTCACAATGTCAGCCACTCTTACTACTCAACCAATTCATTTATAAAGTCAATGACAGCAAGAGAAGCAAATCATATTCCCTGTAAAAGCTGGTGTGGCATGTAAATGTATGTGTAAATTGCAGAGTATTAACTAACGAGCTAATCCACAAGTGCATAAAATCAAGTGTATGTACTTTGTGAGGTCTTTCTTTCATGGAGTTTTAAGAACTCAAGGGCTGGGGATTTAGCTTACTGGTTCTGCCACCTGCCTTGCAAATGCAAGGACCCAAGTTTGATCCCTGGTACCAAAAACAAAAAAGAACTCAAATACCAGTTGTTCCACAATGTGATCAATGAGTGTCCACTTACATATGTGAACATGAGGTTAAAGGAGACAAAGACAGAGACAATTTTAGTCTTAGATATATACCTACAAGAATCAAAAACAGGGACTCAAACAGATAATTCTATACCAATGTTCACAACAGCCAGAGGTGGGAACAACACAAGTGACCATTGGCAGATTAAGGATGAATAAAATATGGTGTACACAAAAATATAATTTTTTGGAGGGTCTAGCTATGTGGTTTAGACTAGCCTTGAACTCCCTATGTAGCCCAGGTTTGCCTTGAATTCAAAGAGATCCTTTTGCCTCAACCTCCCAAGTGCTGAGATTATAGGCATGTACCACAATGCCGGGCCCAACAAAGTATTATTTAGTTCTGAAATAGTTCGTGGCTGAACCTTGAAAACATTACGCTAAGTGAAAGAACCCACACACAAAAGATCACATATTATACGATTCCACTTATATGAAATATCTAGAATAGATGAATTCATAGAGACAGATGTATAGTAGGGTAGGGAAGGGAAGAATAAGTTATCGCTTGACATTTAGAGTTTCTGTTTGGGCTGATGGTCTTAAAAATATATAGTGGTTATGGCTGTACACCACTGTGAATGTAACTAATCCTACTGAATTTTATAATTAAAATGTTTAAATTGGCCACCAAGATTTCAAAAGAAGGCCAAACAATGTGTAACAGGGTTGGAATCCTTCTGGGAACCTATACATCAGGGAAATTTGTGAAGCTATGGAGGTGAGTCAGAGGTTGCGATGGAGACCCCAGGAGACCCCAGGAAGTTGGAAATAACATAAATGTGAAACATGCCAAGGAAAGCTGCGGGTAGCAAACAAAGGTTTGGTACCAGACAGGGCTGCTCAAACCCTCTACAGTTCACACCTCACAAGCACATGTCCTGGATGCCAGACACAGAGCTATAAGACTTAATTTTGCCCTGCTGGTTTTGATCTTGCTTTGGTCCAATTCCTCCCAGAACAGGAATGCTTACCCCGCTATATCTTGGAAACATATAACTTGCTCTTAAATTTTACAGAGGCTCACAGGTAAGATTTTCGGAGACTTTGGATTTGACTTTGAGGAACACTGGAACTGTTGGGACTTTGATAAAGGAATTGGCGTTTTTGGGGTTGTACATGGGAAAGTTACATCATACTGTGCAGAGTTACTGTTTTTATAACAATAAGTATAAGTATGGTTTAAGGAGAAGTGTTTGAGCATCAAGATGACAAGAGGTAGCTAGACTTGTGGTTATTTTTTTCAACTTGATTTGCTTAAGAAATAGCTGGGAGATTAATAAAACATACTTGGTGTCTTGGGTAGGTTGTGGGTGGCTCTTTTCTCTGGCTCTTTCCCCATCTTTCTCCTTTCTGGCCACCATGGATTAATCAGCTTTCTTTTGCTGTGCCCTTCTGCCATAATGTTTTTGCACTGGAGCCAGCTGATCGTATGCTAAAACTTCTGAAACTGTGAGCCAAAATAAATCCTTCCTCCTTTAAATTGTACACGTCACATAATTTGTCCTAGCAACAGAAAGCTGACTAATATACTCAGGATTCTGAAGGCTGTGTGAAAATAATATCAAAAGCTGTTTACTCTTTTTCTATCTAGAGAGTATCCTCAGTTATCAAGTGATTCCTAGGATGATTTATGAGGAGAAACTTGGTGTCTCTCATTTTCTTTTCTTTTCTTTTTTGGTGAAACAGGGTCTCAATATATAGTTCAGGCTGGCCTTGAACTGAACTCACTATGATCCTTCTCCTGCCTCAACCTCCTGAGTGCTGGGATTACATGTGTGCACCTGGCTTTGGTTTCTCCAAGTAAACCATAGTAAAGTCACAGATAACTTAAAAGAGTAAACCCAGTTCTGGAACTACCAGAAGAAAAAAAATCAGGAATTCTAAACTCTTAAATACAGCACTAAATTCTACATGTATCTTGTTGAAAACACCATACTTGAGTAGAATAATTACTAGAATAGAGAAAAATTAATACTACTTAGCATTAAGACATAGAATCAATTTCAGAAATGAAACAAAACAAATGAGCACTACCTGAAGCATACAAAGTGCATTGCAGTGGTAAGCTAACAGATATGTTACCTATGTCTGAACATTTGTTGTACTCACCAGGACCATAATGATCCCATCTGCATAAGGATTCAGCCAAGTTACTCAATATTTCTATGTTGACCAGGAACTAGAACTGGGCAGAAAAAGAATTACAGACGCAAGTTAGCAAAACACTAAGGGGCTTGTTTCAAGTTTTGAAAACACAGCATTGTAAACAATGCATCAAAGCAAATTTATGCAGCAAAATAATCCCTGAAACATCACAGTAAAACTACCTACCAGCAATTGTGGAATGAAATGCTATCAGATAAACTACTAAATAGCAACTTCCTTCCTTACAGTCTGTACCATCAGCTGTTTCTCATCAGAGATGGCTCATTAATAACATCCATTTCTTTGGTAGAGAATGTGGAGATTCAGAACACTGTAAATTCTAGAACCACCTCTATCAGAATAAAAAACTTTGGGGCTGGGGATTTAGCTCAGTGGTTCTGCCACCTGCCTCAAAAGTACAAGGTCCTGAGTTTGATTCCCGGTACCAAAAAAAAAAAAAAAAGAAAAAAAAAAAAAGAAAAAAAGAAAAAGAAAAATCTTGGCACTTCTATTCACATCACAACAATTTTATGTACAAAAATCTAATAGGCTATAAAAGTATGCATAATACAATACTTTAGGTACTATGCATATATTAAGAAATTCAACTTTATGTTTATAAATGAGTGCATGATGTCTGTGTTGAAATAAGTTCTGGACTGACTTTCATATTTAAAGTAACCAATTTTTGGGATAAAGTCTAAATAAATAGTCTGTGATAGAAAATGCCCTACTTTCTTTTCTGCAAGTTTACCAACAGAGCGCTTTTGCAGAATTTGAGACATACAACATTAATCCTAACTTGATAGGTTCCTTATCAGAGGTAATCTCTTCAGTGCAGTATGGTGATTCTACTCCTGGACTCGGGAGTGTGGCACACAATTAGAGGGGAAAATGCACCAGCAGTACAGCTAGAATAAGTCACATCACACAAGCAGATGGCACCTCTAACGAGGTTTTCAGAGTACATTACCAGATCAGCATGTTTCCTGCAATCACAGAATTTAGAAACAGAAACTGTGATAGAAAGGGGCTCAATTTAGAAGCTAAAGATCTCAAGAAGGGGTGTCAGGATTATTTTCCTTAAAGAAATGAAGGGATCTACAATGCCGTTTAAAAGGAACTGTAAATGTAATATGAAATAAAGGATACGCGCTGTAGAGCTTCAACCACTCTCCTACGCCTTGCAGTCAGAATACCTGTCATCCTTAAGGGCTCACTGACTGACTGACTGGTTCACTGAATGAAAGTATAATCACAGAGCTCCTCCTCTAAAAAACAGAAGAGAATACTCCTTTTCAGAGGTGTGAGCAGGATTAGAGGGGGCACCACTTTCAACTTTATGCAACTTGCAGAAAAAGGGACTGCAGACGCGGGAGGTTTTATTAGCAAGTGGAAACCGGGACTGATCCTGGGTGGATGGCAGCAGCCACTTAGGACTGAGGCTGCCCAGGACGCTCCCCGCGACCTCGCCTCAGGGCGGGGAGCCCAGCGAAGGTTGGCGGCCTCGACCCAGCCACCGCTGCCTCAGTCACCGCACTCCGGGAAGCCCTCAACTGCCTCCCAGAAAGTGTTTGGCCGGGGACGTCCGCTGGCGCGCCATCCCTTTGGGAACCCGCAAGTGTTAGAAGCCAGGAAAGGAAGAATGCAGGAGTCGGGCAGCGCCTAACAGGTGAAGCGGAGCAAAGGCGTTGGTAGGGATGCGGTGAGAAGGGAAGGGAGGACGCGAACCGTGGGCAAAACGGGAAACTGCAGGACAAGTAGCCCGGCTCCGACGGCCGACGGAACCAAGCCTTTTGAGATGACGGCGCCCTCACTGCCGCGATGCCCGGCTCGCAGGCGCCGCGCCACCGCCCTTGGCTGCTCGGTTCCCACTCCCCGACACCTGTTTATCCCAGTCCCAGGAAGGCATCCCAGCATCTCTTACACTCACCGCGCCCGCCGCCCTCGACTAGATCATTTCGCCTCCTGCGCGG